GGTGAGAGAGCTAAGTGTAGGTGCCCATACTGGCACCTCAGGCCCTCCACCTCCGTGCAGGAGCCTGGGACGGGGAAGAGGAGTTATGTCCAAACCAGCTCAGGCATCAGGGGGGACAGAAAAACGGACAGAGCTGTTGTCTCTTCAGCTCAGTATACAAAGAACTTCGAGTCACCAGCCTGCTGGCCCCAGACAACATGTAGTGTGCAATTGCTCCTTGCAACAGAATGACGGACTTTGCTGTCTGTCCCTTTAACCAAATGCTTGTGTCCTTCTGCCACCGAATGACAGGAGTCCTGGGCAGGGTCAGGAATTGCCTGAAACATAAACAATTCCTGGAAGAAGTGGGCAGGGCAGGGACTGGTTCCTTGAACGTTCCCTGCAGCCCAACTTGGAGTCAGCCTTCCGACTCTGCCATGGTCTGTTGGTTGGGGAAACCCCACAGGACAGGGCACCCATCCCACTTGCACCTATGTCCTCTCGGCCGAATTCTGTCCAGGAACCTTGAGCTGACACCCCAGTAGCCTCCTCCAGAATTGACAGAGGTTTGCTTTATCCCAGCCCCCTGTTCTAGCTGAGCACACAGGACCTGGGGTTTCTCTGCTCCAAATCAGTGGCGTGACAGTGCTGTGTTGTCCTAGCATCCTTGAAGCTGGGCCCCTGCTGGCCCGCTCAGATCGTCCTAAAATGAAACTCGGCTCTCCTGTGCTGTGTGTGAGGTCTCCAGCTCCCGCCAGCGTTTACCGTGGCTGCTTGCCTTGGGGAGGCTATAGACACAGCAGCCTACAGGAGCTAAGGCTTCAATGAGCAAGAAGCCACCTGGTGCGCAGAGACTGCACGCAAGCCTCCTAAGCCTGGAGGATGCTGCTCTTTGGAATATACCAGGCACCTGCCTTTGCTGTAATCAATAACTGGGAGTCCTCTACCTTTATTGCAGTCAGTACCTGGGAGTCCTCCCTGGAGTGCTCCCACCAGCTCTCCTACACTCACAGGGCCAGGGAATATTCCACATAGCTCCTCAGCTCCTGGAGTTTCCCTAGAAAACAAAGGGCCTGGGAATGTCAGCTTGCTGTCCTGCAGGACCCGTCTGCATGGGTCAGACGCTCTCCTTTGCTTAGAACCTTGAGGTCCAGAGGGACCCCAAAGAGATGACAGTTGCCCAAAGCTATGACTTATGAGCATTCTTGACTACTGCTGACTTTTCTCAGAGATACCAAGACATTTTCGAAAACAAAACGCTTGTGTGTGCTTAAACTTCTTCAAGTCATTATGCGCCGTGCAGCCCAGGAAATGGTGATAGGTGTCATCTGTAGTAGTGAATTTGCTGACAAGGTATGGCTTTGTCACCAGGTTGGAAATGACGAACACTTGGCAACTTGCCCCCTAATCCAGCGGTTTTAGGCTCCCTAGGGGAATAAAGAGAAATAATGTATGGTTTTTCTCCCATGGAAACCAAAAATCTTTTCAAAAGATGACAGGGCAGTAAAAGAAAGGATTATTAGAGGAAACAGAAGGGGTGGGTGGAGGGGACAAGGGGATGAGCCGGTGTGACCAGAGCATGATGTGTGCAAATGTCGCAGTGAACACCCTTAATCTGTGCAGTTGATCGGCACCTGTAATTACAATGGAAAAGAGCACTTTGAAGACTTGGCAGGCAGACCCGGGCTGCCCAGGCTGATGGGGGGTTTCCTAAGCATCCCATTGTCCCGAAGATTGTTGACCCACCCAAGGAGTCCAAGCCACGAGGGATGCTGGGGCAAACCTCGGCGGCTTTCAGCCAGCCTTGGTGACCCTGGGACGGTAAAGCAGCAGCAGGGACAGGAGCGAAGGCAGCGGCTTTTGCCACAGGCCACACCCTCCCCTGGGGATTCTGCCCGGGTTCCCTGCTTGCTTCCCAGTTCTGCAGCCCACTGGGGAAAAGCCAGTGCCGGTGCAGAGATCCCTGTGATAACAGACACTGCTTCCAGACCAGGGCTGTGTTTACAGGCATGTGGGTGGCTAGCTGTGCTACATGGGGATTTTTTTTTTCCTCTTTTTTTTTTTTCTTGGAAAATTATTCATTCTTTGCACTCTGGATAAATGTCCCAGGGAGCTCTTTGTGCCGAGTTGTATGTACAGAGTGAGTGCCACAGCCTGGCCGTGGCCCCAGCGGGGTGTGCCTCTCTGTTTCTGAGGCATTTCTAAGAACCACGGAGACAGTAGGGCATGGTGGCACATGCCTTTAATCCCAGCACTCGGGAGGCAGAGGCAGGTGGATCTCTGAGTTCGAGGCCAGCCTGGTCTACAAGAGTGAGTTCAAGGACAGCCAGGGCTACACAGAGAAACCCTGTCTCCAAAAATAAAAATAAAAAAAATAAAAAAATAAAATAAAATAAAAAAACACAGAGAAGCTGACATGGCTTATACATGGGCTTAGTTAGCCTTAACATAGACCAGAATACCAAGTCCTGCTTCTCCTGACAATCAAATTCAAGCACAAAAAAAAAATGCTGTGAGACCTAAGGGATGACATCCCTCAAATCCAAAGAACAGCTCTTCCTTAAACTCTTTTCAGAGTTACTTATTTTTATGTTATGTGTATGACTGTTGCCTGCATGTCTATCTATGTGCCACACGTGTGCCTTCTGCCCAAGAAGGCCAGAAGAGGGCCTCAGATCCCCCCGGAACTGGTGTTACTGTAGTGAGCGGCCGTGTGGTGCTGGGAACCAAATCCCCGACCACTGCGTGCTCTTTCTCTCTGAGCCGTCTCTCCCGCCCTTCCTTGCTTTTCTATTCCATTCTGAGCTGGCTGGGAGGTCAGTTCGGATCCAGACACTCGTGAGAACAACTGGAGAGGAAGCTTCTGTCACCGCAGCCCAGTGACCCAGCCAGCTGTGGACTCTGGCCCGCTCAGGTGCACACCACCCGTCCTCCCCTATCCTACCTGCTTGCCCTGTGGTAATCACCTTCCCTTCTCAACTCACCCCTCCTTGACCCCCATCCATCACTAATCTGAGATCATCAGATTTCTAACGTTGTCACTTGGAGCATTGAATAAATGCAATCCTACGCGTAATTTGGGGGATTAACTGCTCCACTCAGCACGAGAACTCTTGGTCCATCCAGGTTGTTCCTGCAGAAGTCGTTCTTTTTATGGCTGCATTGCGCTCCCTGTCGCTGGGTGACACAGTTAGTCTGTCCATTCACGCTGGAGGGTGCCTGGCTTGTTTCCAGGCTGAGACCATTTCCAGTCATTGGCACACAGGTGATGATGGGAACATGGACTTTGCTCCTCGTGCCTGGAAGGTCAGCTCCTGTCCATCTCCCTGGGCACGAGGGACCCAGGGCTAGTCCTCCCCGGACCTGGGCATGGTCAGTCTTTTTGATCTTAGGATAAGCATTTTGATTTGCGTTTCCTAGTGACCGTGGATGCCCGAGAGTTCCCACGCTCACACTCATCTGCACACAGCCATGTGTCATCTCTTGCCTGTTTTCTGCTGCCGAGTTTTGACAGCCTTTCACACACACTATATTCCAATCATTGTCAGGTACGCCGTTAGCAAACATTCCCTCCTGAGCTGCACCTTGTCTCTTCTCTTTTTGGGGGTGGGGCACGATTTGTTGATACTTACATTCATTTTATTTTTTTTAAACTTCTCATAAAATATATCTTGATCTTATCCTTTCCCCTACACCAGCTCCTTCCAGGTCCCCGTCCACCCACCCAACTTCATGTTCTTTCTCTCTCTTAAAACACGCACACACACTCCAAAGCGTGGAATCTGTTTTGTGTTAGCCAACTACCTGAGCATATGGCTGCCTGGAGTGTGGCTTCAGGCTGCCTCGTCAGCCCCTAACACTGTTTTCCTTACATCGATGATTCATTTTGACAAGTGGCTTAGCGATCTCCCCCTGTGTGTTTGGGCATCACAGCTAGGGACTCTCTGACGCCCGGGCACTCTGCAGGTTTGGCCCCTGTGTGTTACGCTGTAGAGGCATAGGCCATTCGATCTGCATTAGGTTTTTGCCTGTGGAATAATCTTGTCTATGTCTACAAAAGAGTCTGTGGCATGCCTTTAATCCCAGCACTTGGGAGGCAGAGCCAGGCAGATCTCTGTGAGTTCAAGGCCAGCCTGGTCCACAGAGAAACTCTGTCTTGAAAAACAAAAAAAAAAAAAAGGCGACAGCGGGGGAGGGGGGGAATTGTGGTGATTTTGGACAGGAATGTCCTTAAGCCTGTATGCCAGTTTAGGGTGAACTGGCATCATCACTGTGCCCAATTCACTAAGTCACCAGCATGAGTTACTTACTATTTCTTTACATACTTTTTTCAGTAACATGCTGGAGCTTTGAGCATACAAATTCTGCATATGTTTTTGTTAGGTTTATATCCGAGTCGTGGGGCTTTTCTGAGTGACTGTCAATGCTATTGTATTTTAATATGATTATTATATATTATTAATATTATATGTGTATCTTATGACTGTGTTAAATTCACTTGTTAGCTTTAGGAGAGGTGTTTATTTGTAGATTCCTTGGACTATTCTGTATACATAGTCTTGCCATAAGCAGGGCTACTGATTTATCTCTTCCTTTCTGACCTGTGTCCTTTTATTTCTTATTCTTGCCTTATTGCACTAGCTTAAACTTACAGCATTGTGTCAATGAGATGTCTGTCCTGCCTTGTTAAACCTGTAGCTGAAGAGTTTTGTGAATGCTTTTTTTTTTCCCTTTTATTTTATTTTACAATACCATTCAGTTCTACATATCAGCCACGGGTTCCCCTATTCTCCCCCCTCCTCCCCCCTCCCCTTACCCCCAGCCCACCCCCCATTCCCACCTCCTCCAGGGCAAAGCCTCCCCCGAGGACTGCGATCAACCTGGTAGACTCAGTCCAGGCAGGTCCAGTCCCCTCCTCCCAGACTGAGCCAAGCGTCCCTGCATAAGCTCCAGGTTTCAAACAGCCAACTCATGCAATGAGCACAGGACTTGGTCCCACTACCTAGTTGCCTCCCAAACAGATCAAGCAATCAACTGTCTCACTTATTCAGAGGGCCTCATCCAGCTGGGGGCCCCTCAGCCTTTGGTTCATAGTTCATGTGTTTCCATTCATTTAGCTATTTTTTTTCAATAATTGAGTAAATCCGAAATTTATTATAAGCCACAGTCGTCCTAGGGACCTCCATGCTATATATATAGCCTCCATGGTTCTATGGATTGTGGTCTGATTGTTCTTTATTTTATATCTAGAATCCACTTATGAGTGAGTACATACCATGACTGTCTTTCTGGGTTTGGTTACCTCACTCAGGATGATTTTTTCTAGTTCCATCCATTTGCCTGCAAATTTCATGCTTTCATTGTTTTTCTCTGCTGAGTAGTACTCCATTGTGTATATGTACCACATTTTTTCCATCCATTCTTCAGTTGATGGGCATCTAGGTTGTTTCCAGGTTCTGGCTATTACAAATAGTGCTGCTATGAACATAGCTGAGCATGTATCTTTATGGGTGAATGCTTTTATAATTGCTTTTCATTTTGTGTGTAAGGGTGTTATAGCTGCATGCACATATATGCACCATGTGTATGCAGTACCCACCAAGGCCAGAAGAGGACATTAGATCCCATGGAACTAAAGTTACAGATGGTTGTGAGCCACCATGTGGGACTCAAGCCTACATCATTTAGAAGAACAGCCAGTGCTCTTAACTGCTGAGCCATCTCTCCAGCCCTGTTAATGCTTTTTAAAAAAAATCAACTTCAAGCTGTTCCTCCCTGTTTCTGTTTTTATGAGAATTTCATCTTCAATGTGTGTTGATTTTTGTCAGATTGTTTCTGTGACTTCATTGACAGGATCATGGGATTTTTCTTCTATATGCTTCCAGTGTATGTAGATTACATTCATTGATTGGTTTTTAAACATTGGACCAAACTTACATCCCTGGAGAAATCTCACTTGACCATAATATATTGTTCTCTTTTCTATATTGCTGGGTGTATTTTTAATTTTTTTTTCTTACTGAGTTTGTGTCTGTATTCATGAAGGGCATAGGCTATGGTGGTCTCTGTTACTGTTGCCTTTGTGGATTTGGTATCAGACTCTTTATAAAATGATAGAGAAGTGTTCCCTCCTCTTCTGTTTTCAGGAAGAGATATTTAGAACTGTGTGAATTTTAAAACTACTTGATTGACTTCTGCAGGGAAACCATGCTGGACCGGAGATTTCTGGGGGGTGAGGTTAAATTTTAAACCTATTTTCCTTTATAGTTATAAGCTGTCCAAATGACTTCATCCAGGATGAGTTGTGGTTTCGTTTTTGTGGGAAATGGTCTACTTCCTCAAAGTTGTCAGATCTGTAGGTGGGAGTCATTCAGGCGCCTCGTGGCCCCGTGTCTGTAGAGGCTGGGTGATGGCTCTCATCCCTGGTGTCTGTAGGGGCTGGGTGATAGCTCCTTCGTCCCTGGTGTCTATAGGGGCTGGGTGATGGCTCTCATCTCTGGTGTCTATAGAGGCTGGGTGATGGCTCTTTCGTCCCTGGTGTCTATAGGGGCTGGGTGATGGCTCTTTCGTCCTGGTGTCTATAGAGGACTGGGTGATAGCTCTTTCGTCCCTGGTGGCGGTAGCCTCTGTCTCTGGTAATCTGTCTTCATTTATTTACTGACTTCTTTACTTACTTGTCAGTATTGCTGGAAGTCTGTCGGTTTGTTGGCCTTTTTGAAGAGCTCGGTCTTTTATGAATTTTTCTGTGTGGTTTGCTTTCTACCCCACTGCTTTCTCCTCTCTTTGCTTTTGTTTTCCGCTCTTGCCTGTCCCTCCCTTCCTTCGGCTGTGGCTTTGCTTTTCTGTGAGTTCTCACAGTGGGGTCCTGGGTTTTCCCTCTCACAGCGCGCAGGGCTCCATTCCTTTCTCGGCCTCACTGTGGCCATGTCCCACAGCAGAACTTTGAAGTGTGGTGCTTCCATTTTCATGAAATTCAACCTCTTTTTATTTATTTGTTTTTCTTGAAACTTCCTCTTTTGCTCAGGAATTGATTAGAAATGTGAAGAGTGGGTCAGGGAGATGGCTCAGCAGGTAAGAGCACTTGCTGCCAGCCGGCCACCTGAGTTTGAATCCCAGGACCCACGTCGTAGAAGGCAAGAACTAACTCCTGCCAGTTGTCCTCTAATCTACACAGGTGTAGCGTGGCATTCATGTGGATGCGCACACACACTAACACACATATACACACACACTCACACACACACACACTCACACACATTCTCACACACACATACACTCACACATGTATCCACACAAACACACACACACTCATACACACATGCATTCATTTACACACATTCTCTCACACACATATGCACACACTCACACATACACTTGTACACACATACATGCATTCACACACATACACTCATATACACGCTCTCACACACTCAACACACATACATACATACACATATACTCACACACTCATACACACACATATACTCACGCTCACACATGTGCACTCACACATATACACACACGCAATACTGATTGATGACTTCTGAATTGATATGAATACTTAGAGATCAGCAACTTGAGTTAATCCAAACTGTTACATTTTCTAAAGATTTCACAATAAGTAATCTAAGACCACACTGCCCCAAGCTGAAAGCTCCCTGAGGCCCCCCCCAGTGGGGGCCATATCTCTTCCCAGGGAGGTGCAGGCCTCAGTCCCTTAGACCCACAAGCCACTCAACTGTGACTCGTCTGTGACTGACACATTGAATTGGTCTTCTAAGATGTACCATGAAAAGTGACTTTTCCTCTTCCAGGCCGTGAAGCCAGGCAGCCACGAGTTAACTCCACCCACTTACTGGAAAGTGTTATCGTTCAGGGTCTTAGGTAGAGTGCACCCTTTGAGTGATTAGGAGACATAAGCTTGAAATAAAGATGTCATTACTTATAGGTCTGGGGATAGACAGGTGGCCTGCAGGCCACATGGAGAGGCCAGGAACACAAGGGCAAAGACAGAAGATGACCTGCAGGTTGATGACTTTATTGTGTCCTGAGAATTACCCCCATGAGGTTCCTGGGAGGGTGCAGTTTTAACTGGTGAGTTAAGGCTAGCAGACACGAGTTCTGTAAGGTCACGGCGATGGTGAAATGGTTACTGTGGCACAGGTCGGCACAGTGTGCAGGGTGTGGGGACGGGAGCGTGAGTCAGGTAGGCTGGGTCGAGCTCTCCGTAGGGAGGTGGTCACCAGGAGGAAGTGGGTTAAGGTGACATCTGGACTGACACCTGAGTGGATGGGAAACAGACAACCGGAAGCTGGGTTGGGGTGACTGAACTTGCCTGTGTGAACAGCCACACTCCCAGGGACCTTACAGTGAGTGTAAGATCACATGACACCAGAAGGGCTTCCTACAGGTAGTGAAGCATGAAGGATTTAAGAGATTGATTCAAATTCATTCTTTTCTATTGTTTTTTCTTTCTTTTCATTGTGTACAGTGAATAAACACTAGCAAGTATATTTTAGGAAAGAGGGAGGAAAGGAAAGGAAAAAAAGGAAGGAAGGGGGTAGGCATGTGGGAAGCTTGAAGCATAAAGATAACCCAAGTTAGAGGCCAGCCTAGGCTACGTAGCAAAATCCCACCGAAAGACAGAGAGGAAGGAGCAGAGACGCCTGAAGTGGGCTGGACCAGGCTACTGTCCCTGCTGCGTTGAACATCCATAGGAAGGACTGTTAAAGCAGCCCGTTGTTGAAGAAGCAGAGAGATGGAATGCTGTGTCCGAACTTGAACACGTCTTCCGGGGCTCCCACAGTGGGCTGCACCGCCCAGTCCCAACTGCAGAACTTCCTTAAGTGACCTGTGTGCCATCTGCCTGTGCCAGTACGGTGCCAGCTAGCCACATGCTGCTTGAAATGGTACTCACACCAGTGATGAACTGCATTGCTTCTTCTGAAGTTTTTAGTGGCATTAGCCTGGTAACGGTGTGTCCTGGCATCACAGGTCCGTGGTACAGGCATCACTGCGACCCACTCTTATCTGTAGACTATGGCAGGAGCTATACACTGGAGGGCACACCTGCATTCCTGTGAAGCTGGAAGCCTGTGAGGTGGCATCTGCTTAGAGCTCAGATAGCCTGTGGAGGGAAAGGAGTGAAGGGAGGCCAAGGAGGCTTCTGGGATACCAGCAATGCTCTGTTTCTTGGGCTGAGTACAAGTGACCAAGATATGAGGGGGGGGGAAACAACTTTTTTTCCTCATTACAGAATAGAAATATGTTCATGGAGTGGGGTGAGAGGCTGGAACAATGGCTCACTGGTTAAGAGCACCGGCTGCTCTCCCTTAGGTCCTGAGTTCAATTCCCAGCAACCACATGGTGGCTCACAACCATCCGTAGAGAGACCTGGTGCTCTCACATACAGGCAGACAGAACACTGTATACATAATAAATAAATCTTTAAAAAATATATGTTCATGGTAGAAAATGAAGATTTTTCTTAGGAAGCAGAAATAGGAAAGTGTAATCTTAGAAGCAAAAGATAACTGCTGTTGGTGTTCCCAAATGTTTCCTCCCAACATGTTTGAAAAATGGGATCATTCTAAGTTGAAACACCGTTTAGAAAAAGCCTTTTAGATTTCTTTATTTTATGAGTACTTGTGTTTGACTTGAACATATGGCTGTGTGCCGTGTGCACACCTGATACCCATAGAGGTCAGAAGGGGCATTGGGTGCCCTGGGGCTGCAATCATAGAGGGTTGGCTGTGAGGCTCCATGTGGGTGCTGGGAGTCAAACCCCGGTCCTCTGCAGGAGCAGCCAGTGTTCTTAACCTCCGAAAGATTTCTTTAGCCTCTCAAAAAACATTTTACAGCTAACAACAGATGTTAACTTTTCTGCTTGGTTTTTGTTTGGTTTTGGCTTTGGCTTTAAAGTTAGGATCTTGCTAGGTAACTCTGGCTGGCTTATCATGTATTTTCTGGTCATCCTCCTGCCTCTGCCTCCCAGAAATGAACATTTTTAAATGATTCTTTTTTCCAATTTAGACAGGACCTCATTGTGCAGTTTAAATCTGACTTCGAACTTGTTCTTCTCACCCACCTGGCCCTCTAACTCCCGCCCTACCCTCCCACATGCTGGGATTTAAAGGTGTGCTGAGCTGAAATTATTATCAATAGTAGAATGTGAGTCTACAATACAGATTTGTCATATTTAATTTAACAATTCCTGAGGCCCACAAGATGGCTCAGCAGTTAAGGGTACTTGCTGCCAAGCCTGGTGACCTGAGTTTGGTCCCCCAAATCCACACAATGGAATGAAAGGCCTGACTCCCTCAAACTGTCCTCAGACCTCCATGGGAATGCTAAGCACCACATATGGACAGGCTGTGCTGGTTCTCACCCTGTTAAATGATGCTGTGGTGCACATCTTTTGTGTGTGTTCCTGACCATTGACCAGAAAGCGGGCACAGGATGGAAACATAGGGACATGTTTAGCTTTTTGAGTTCCATCGCCAGACTAAATCACTGAAATATGTTCTTGGCTCTCTTGGTTTGGTTTGCTTTGTTTTGGTTGCTGGGGCGAGTTAGGCACCAGGCCAGCGTAGAAGAGTCTATGAATTCCTTTATAGGGTCTCTGAGTTTGGGGTCATGAATGAATGGTTAAGTGCGACCGAGAAGGTCTCCCCTTCCCCAAGAGCACAGAGGACAGTGAGTGGCATGGCCATCTTCCCATAAGACTCAGCATTGGGCTGGTCAGGAAATAGGAAGGAGGCAAGTTATGATCAGCTTGGGACCTGGACCTTGTAAAACCAGACACCCAACCCAGTTTTACAGGGCAGGCAGCAGGAGACCAGGTCTGCTCCACCCAGCCTGCTTCCTCTCTGCAGGGCCCATCCTGAGAACACTTTGTGTTCACTCCAGCAGTGCATTGACCCCACTGTGTCATAGTGATTGTCCCCATAAAATGAGCACTAAGAGAAAGCATTCCATATTTAGAGCCCCTGGGCCAGCCTGCCTTATCTAGCTGCGGTGGTACCCCAAGAGCGTCAGCCTGGGCCACTGACAAGGGACCAGTAAGAGCAGGCAGCAGAGAAGAGGAGAAACCTCCAGGGAGGGCCTGCTCGCCGTGACTGAGAGGCCAAGCAAGCATCCTTCACGGAGGCGCACCCGCAGCTCGCACAGGGATGGTGTGACCTGCCTGCCTCCGCGTCCTCCCTCCCAGCCTGTACTGCATCGCTCTCTCTTCTTTGGTTTGTAGAAAGAGAAGAACTCATCCAGGGTGTGCTGGCCCAGGTGGCAGAGCAGTTCTCCAGGTACCGTATCCTCGGTGTACACACTTTCCAGGCTGGTGGGAGCTGGGCCTGGCCATAGCCAGCCCTCTCACGTCTGTAGCTGGCCTAGCCCGGCACAGTCTAGCCAACCTTCATCTTCTCCCCAAAACCATGCCCAGTGACTGCTTGTCGGTGATGAGTTTTGGGGGTGATGAATCCACCCCCCAACTCCGTTCTTCCAAGACTTGGGGTCACCTGCACAACACCCTTTTACAAATGAGTGTTTCCCACTGAGATGCTGTGTGGGTGGGTGGGGGCTTCCTTTTCATTCACCAACACCCTCCTAATTCCATGTCAGAACGGTCAGTTTCTCAAAGTGATTTCTGTATGGTGTCTTAGGCCACTTTTGGGCCACCAGGAAGCATGGCAGTACCCCATACCTGTCTGTATGGCATACCTGCTGGGCAGGGCAGGGTGCGTGCTTGGGTCAACCCACCTTTAGTCTGTACAGAGAACCCAGTACAGAGTCGTAAAGATACCAGAATCAAGAATACTCAGGGACAGTATTCTTCTTTAAAAGCACCTCCTGCTGTCTTGGTCCCCTCTCCAGCCCCCTTAGAGACCTCACCTCAGGCAGGGACCCATCCATGTTTGCTGGTCTGGGTCATGTTTTTTTATCTTTTCTCCCCACTGTTTCCCCCCAGAGCGTTTAAGATCAACGAGTTGAAAGCAGAAGTTGCAAATCACCTGGCCGTGCTGGAGAAACGGGTGGAACGTGAGTGGAGTTGGTTTTTTTTTTTTCCTTCCTTTTTTTCCCCCCCGCTTAGGCCTTTTAACCTCCATCAGAATTAGCCGCTTAGAACAGCGAGCAGGTTAGTGCCAAGGGCAGACGCGTCCTTTCTCTGTGTGCCGCTTTGATTTTGACAAAGACCGGACAAGGACAGATCTAAGCACACGTTTCCAAGAAGTGCAGCTTGTACAAAGCTGTGTCTGTGCACGGAACGCAAAGGAAAAACCCAAATGGCCTCCGTCTGGCCCAGCAGAACCTCTGCCAGGGTTCCAGCTCCGTGCCTCTGCATGAGGGGGCAATCCTCTCTTCACGCCTCTGTGCAGCTTGCTTCTGCAGAGTTTGGAATCTGTGACATATATGACGTCTGGATCTCAGGTTTTAGCCACTGCTAAAGGAAAGCAGAAACCCGGCCTGTATGTGAGAGTCGGGTCCAGTCTCCATTCAGTTTCCAAAAAGCCCGATTTGGGGAGGGAAACAGGCTCGAGTCATCTTATCTGCAGTGAAGGAGGGATCCAAGAAAGGATCGATGCTTACATTCCACAGGCCTGCAGATCCCACATTCCACCCTCTCAGCTCCACAGCCAAGCTCTCCGTCACCGTCAGGCTCAGCCTGGCAATACATGGGCACCTCATTTATTAACTTGGGCTGGGCAAACAAAATCCAAACAGGAAGCCATTAAGAGACAAGCATCCACAGAGAAGAATGCGTGGCAGATTCTGCTCGGAAGATTGAGTGGATGTCTTTTTTTTTTTTTTTTTTTTTTTTTTTTATTGCTTCTCATTTTTCAAGAAAAAAATTCTGTCACACAAGACCTGGCTCCCTGGAATAAGCCGAAACATGTTCCCATCGTCTCGTGTGTCCTTCTCAAAGTGCGGTGGCTGTTCCCAAGTCAACTGGTCTTTCAGTCCTCAGGATGATCTTGTCTTGCCTAGGATGATGAGGAGCCACAGAGCAGTTAGTGACCACCCCAGTTCATTCAGCAAATGAGACAACAAAACAAACCAGGTCTGGAGTCCTTGCCACCTTCCCTGAGGAAGGTGTCTTCCTCCTGTGGGTGGGGGTGGAGCTTCTTCTTGCCACTGTGGCTGCTCTGAACAGAAGAGGGTTATTTTTTTTTCTGGAGGCCTTGGGGAGCCCACCACTCCCCTGTAGGGTGTGACGCCTCATGACACTGCCCCCCACCGTCACCATCCCTTGGAACTAGTGGTCTCTCTGTCACCTCGCTGGCGTCTCTCTCATTTGGATCCCCACTCTCCCACTGCCATTGCCACCACTGGCACCAGGTCCAAAGCCTGCGTGGAGCTGGTCCAAAGCCTCCCTGAAGGAGTAGGAGAGTGCCTATTCCCGTGGCCACCTCAGCAAAGCTCCACAGCAGTGCCTTCTGGAAGCTGGAAGCCCTGGCCTAGAAAGTGTGAGCAGGGCTGGCTCCCCTGGGTTCTGAGGACGAGTCAGTTCTAGGCTGACCCTGGTAGTCGGTAGTTACCAGCCACCCTTCCCGCTCCCTGGCTGGGACTGCTCCATGGCTGCAGCCTGCCTCTGTCTTCGTGTGGTCCCCTCCTTCCGACTGCCATATCTCAGAGTACCCCGTCCGTGTCTTGTAAAGACACCTCTATTTGAATCAAGGATAGTCCCATCTCAAGTTCTCTATCTAACGTCTGCTGGGGATCTTTCGTCTAAATCAAGCAGCCTTCACAGGATCCAGGGTTTAGGATGCGGACATGTGCTCCGCAAGACACACTCCAGGCTACTACCGTGAGCATTCATTGTTCCCGACGTTGTCATGGGAGACCAGCTTAGTCTCCTGCCAAGATGTGCGGACTCTCGAGACATATCGAAGGGCGTTAGCCACAGACAGTGGAAGGAGTTTGCTGCCAGGGCACCATCCACACCAACAGATACGTAAAGCCCCAGTCACCGTTTGGCTCACGACTGCCACACACAGCAGGTGCCTCCCCATCCTCCACTCATCTAGTACCATCCTCCTCTTCTGATGCCTCTTCGGTCCCAGATCCCTACTGTAGGTCTCACTTCCTGGCCTCCCCAAGTCTTCTTGCATCTCCAGGAGTGGCCTTGTATGCACGGGCTCTCTCCCATGCTGGCTCTGGGCTCATCCGTTCCTGTCCCTCCTGGCCGACCACTTCCTAGTCTCCAGAAGCCAGAAATGTCACCCATGCTGATCCCCAGGGACTTGGAGTTTCAGAGAAACTCAGATACAGCTACTTAGTGCCTCATTCTGAGGATGCAAACAGGGGAGACGGGGTGACCTCCGTCCTGAACAGGACACCAGGGAATTGTCCAGTCCAGATGGTCCTGCCCCTGTGTGGCTGGCTGAGAAGGCTGCCAGGAACACGGCTCCAGTCGCTGCTCCATATGGACACACAACCCTGCACAAACACGTACATAAAAACATGGGCAGACACACTCGTGGGCGTGTGTGGGCATGCAGCTTCATCTGGCTGTCATTAGCTGTTATCTGTGTCCCAGGGTAAGGGACCTCCAGCTAGTGTGGCCACCTGTAAACCCCACTCTGTGCTGACCTTGTCGTGAGTGGAATTTCCTCCTTGCTCTTTGACCTGAAACCAAATACACGTTTCTGCTCCGTGACTTCCAGTGCTTTTCTCCCTCTCTGTGTAAATGTTTAGCCTTTAAGGAGTCTGGGATTACTGGCGGGTCAAAGGTGATTTCATAACCATGGAACAGCAGGGGGCCCTCACCTCCTGTCCTCACCCGAGCTATCCACTTCCTTCCTGGTGTGCTGGGGGTTAGGGGGTGGTACAGGGCGGCCCTGCTCCGTCCACCCTTTGTACCCATGCCCTGGACCTGAACCAAGACCTAAACACCAGTGTAGGCCACAGCCAGAGCTGACCCCCAGGGGCAGAGTTGGATACAAGGCATGCAGACAATCCAGAATTTCCATACTGAACCGAACCGAACCTGTCACTCAGGAAGTGTGCCCGAGGCAAACCTTCGGAGCAGCCCCAGGAAAAAAGCATTGAAAAGCAGCTCTCTGCTCCCTGCCTTTGAGTGGGGAGCCTTAGTTTTGTAGCCAGGAGAGAGCATGCCCCCCTCTGCGCCCCCAGATCCTGTGGGTTCTTAATGTGGAAGGAGGTGAAAACTGCTTTCGCCACCGCTCTGGCCCTTTTCCATGGGGCCACCTTCTCTTAGGAAGTCATTCTTCAATCTTTTCATTGGGAGACAACGAGGTACAGAAGCCCACAGAAACCCCTTCTGAAGTCGGAGCTGGAGAGATGGCTCAGTGGTTAAGAACACTGGCTGTTATTCCAGAGGACCTGGGTTCGATTTACAGCACCCACCTACATGGCAGCTCACAACTATCTTTAACTCCAGTTCCAGGGGGATCCAGCATCCTCTTCTGGCCTGCTCAGGCACTGCACTTAGGTGGTGCATAAACACCTGTGTAGGCAAAACATGCCTACACATAATGTTTTTAGAAATCCCTGCTAAGTGCACATGCACTTCCCAAGGTTTCAAAGCAAGTTAACTCTGCATGCCAACATGTCAGAAGGTCCATGTTGATTGTGTCTCCAGGGCCCTGCAAGGTTAAATGGTTCAGGGGGACCTCTACTTTAGCTTGGGGTGTTTGTGCCTACCTGTATGTCAAGCTTAAGAGAGGACAAGGGGGCCCTAATGGATGAAACTTGGGTCAGGCCATGAGTCCAGCAGCCTCCGGCCATTGTCTGTGAAGGCCCCTCAGTACGGAGCCTCAACCCCCGGGGATAGGCTTCCTTCTCCATGATGTGCTGATGGAGGCATTAGAATGGGGCCTGTGATGAACTGTAGAGTATCCAGTGTAGGTCATATAATCCCAACTATGTACTCACCAAGACAGGAGGATGGCACATTTGAGCTAGTCTGTGTTACACAGGACAGCTTTGTCTCAAACCCACATGGCAAGTGGAACTATGGAGCATCTCTCCTTGGATCTGTTTACTTCCCACCACATTCTGCCTTCTGTGTATCAGTTGACTGAGCTGCACCTTTCTGTGGTTGTTGATTTACCATGTGTTCCGTCCATGTTCTAGAAGCACGCCTTCAGCCTGCAGAATGCAACCAGGAGGTCTAAACAAAGGCCGCAGCGGCCACATTGAACTCATCGCTAGGGAACCCCAGGGGTGCCTGGCACCTGTCCTCAGAAGAATGCCCCGTGGCTTTCAACAACTTCTTTGGGTTACCAGTGTCACAAAAAAGTGTGAAGAACCTCACTCCAAAGGAGGGGTAACAGTGTGTGAACAAACATGCCTGGCCTCTTCGTGCCTCGCCACCCCCACAGCTGCTGCCTGGACTTGCCCCCAGGCTCCCACCACCCTGAACGCAGCCACTGACACCTGAGGCCTTCATTTTGGTCTGCCCAGCCTCCTACCAGCCTTGTATGGGAGGGGCAGACGTTTCTCTGGCCCAGAAGCAAGCCACCGGGCGGGACCAGAGCTGACTGTGTTCCTTTGTGCAGAAGAGGCAGTGTCCCTACGGAGCCCTATCCCAGCTTGACTACTTACTACCTTGGAAAGTTCTGGAAAGCCCAGAAAGAGCCTGGGTCATACCAGGCTGCCTGCACATGTGCACCCTAGCTGCAGCTCCTCTTCTTGGGTGGGAGGCATTGTTAGGAACCCACCAACTCCCTGAATCGCTGTTTTTCCTTCAGAAGGGGTCATGCTGTGGTTTTAGTAGCTATTCGGAGCCCAGCTCAGTGACAAAGGGAATATACTAATACTATGGGCCCTGTCCTTTGGCCAAAAGCTGACATGTGGTCGTAAAGTAACAGGCATCATTTCTTTTCTTCCTTAAGAAGCCAGCTTCCAGCAGCATTCCAAGGGAACGTCTTAAGCTAGTAGCTAGTTGGCAGACACACTGTCCAGTTAGCTGGGGCCCCGGAGACTGTGACTGAGTCCCCCGTCTCCGCCCCCCCGCCCCCCCTGTTCCTCCTTGACGTTGCCTGTTGGTTTCTTGACTGGTGGGGAGGTGAGGGCACCGCACACATCAGCAGCATGGGAAGGTGTGGAAGCCTCTGCCGCGACTGGGATCCTCACTTACCAGCCTCGCTAGATCGCTGCGATTGCTTCTGGTGACCCTCTCTGTGTCTCTTTGTCGCCAGTGGAAGGACTTAAAGTGGTGGAGATTGAAAAATGCAAGAGTGACATTAAAAAGATGCGGGAGGAGCTGGCAGCCAGAAACAGCAGGTGAGTCTGTGCCCGGAGCCTACAGCGGCCAGGCCTCGGGAGGGCTCTGTGTGGAAACCGTGGGACGGGGTATGACTTTGTTTCCCCAGACAGAAAAGCTAGTGTGACTGGGCTGCTCTGCTTCCAACACGGTTGACACAAGCTAGAGGAAGCCTGTTGTATCAACGCTACTCGATTCATTTTCTTTAAGTGTTTTGTCTCGTTTTTTAAGATTTATTTTACCTGTATGGGTGTTTGCCTGCATGCGCGTGTCTGGGCACCATTTGCATGTCTGGTGCCCATGGTGACCAAAAGAAGGTGTCAGATCCTCTGGAACTGGAGTTACAGGCAGTTGTGAGTTGCCACGTGGGTGCTGGGAATAGAACCCAGGTCCTCTGCAAGAGCAGTCGGTGCTCACAACTGCTAAGCCATCTTTCCAGCCCCCTGTGTTTTCTTTAAAAGGGGGTTTTGTGGCCAGGCGGTGGTGGTACACGCCTTTAATCCCAGCACTCAGGAGGCAGAGCCAGGCGGAGCTCTGTGAGTTCGAGGCCAGCCTGGTCTACAAAGTGAGTTCCAGGAGAGGCGCAAAACTACATAGAGAAACCCTGTCTCGAAAAACCAAAAAAACAAAACACACACACACAAAAAGGGGTGTGTGTGTGGCAGGTGCAGCTGGAAAATGTCCGCACATGAGAGGGAGATAACTCTCCTCCAGAGCTGTGTGGGGACACTTGAAGGAAGTTGATGTCTGTTTTTTGTTATTTTCTTTTGGGTTTGTTTTTGTTGTTGTTGTTATTTATTTGTTTAGCTCTGATTGTCTTGGAGCTCCCGAATGCTGGGATTAAAGTCACATGCTACCATACCCAGCTACTAGCTATTTTTAAAGATACCAGTAAGGAGACAAAAGTTTATAGGGAACAAGCACCCAGTTTTCATCCCCAGGTCTCCCAGTTCTCACAGGGAGCCCCCTTGGGCAGAGTAGCACAGTGAGTGTTCCCATTATCATGAACTTGGATCACACAGCCCGTCAGAGGTGATATCCTCAGAGGCCAGTGACCAATAATCCAAGCAGACATTCTCCTGGATGATTGATCAGCAGGACTGTCCACTAAAGCCGGAGTGCATGGTTATAGGGCAACCTCCTGAGCAAGGACCAGCCCTGAACAAATGACCTCAGTTGTCTTAGATGCCAACCTCTGCTGGAGACCACTGCCTGACTTCAACAAAGCCAGGCTTCCTGCCGAGGGCGGGGTGTAGCTCCTGCCTGCAGGTAGGAGGTACAGGGAAAGCTGGTGGTCCCCATGAAGTCCCACCATGGTGGCCAGCCTGGTTGTCTCAGGGAGGGCACAGCACAGGGAAGAGAGGTAGACCATGGCGTCCTATGGGGACCATGTCACATTCAATGTCACATGGACTGGCCAGCTGGTGTAGAGCTAGGGATCTC